ATTATTTAATTAATTACATTTATCTCCTTCCTTTCCTCCAAGGAGCTCAAGGTGGTCTTCATGGTTCTTCCCCTCATAACCCCGTAAGGTAGGCTGGCTGACTAGTCCTAGTCCAAGATGATAACCTCTCCACTTTTTCTATAACAAAGATAAAATCAACTAGCACAATAGCCCTGAGATCTAGTTTTCTGACTTACCTGGGGCACCTCCCTCTGCCCACAGTTGTCAGACCGATTACCCACAACAAACTAGGGGAGAGTATGTGATTTCATTTAGAAAGGTGATAAGAGATGCCTCCCCCCCTTTCAATTTTCTTTTTTTACATGATTGTCAACTGCCCTGTAAAATCAGATTGATATACAGAGGGTGTTCTCCCCCCCCCCAATGAACAAAGTAATAATCCAAAGTAGAAACACAACAGGCTAGTAATTCACCTTTTTTCAAGCGCCTATCATGGTGACTGATATATTAAATTTGAAATTCTCCCTTGCATAAAGAGAGAGGAAGGAAATGCCTAAATCATGGGTAGGCAAACTAAGGCCCAGGGGCTGGATCTGGCCCAATCACCTTCTCAATCCGGCCTGCAGATGGTCTGGGAATCAGCATGTTTTTATATGAGTAGAATGTGTGCTTTTATTTAAAACGCACCTCTGGATTATTTGTGGGGCATATGAATTCATTCTTCTTCTTTTTTCAAAATATAGTCCGGTCCCCAACAAGGTCTGAGGGATGGTGGACCAGCCCCCTGCTGAAAAAGTTGGCTGACCCCTGGCCTAAATGGTAGTTGTATCTGGTGTTCTGGAGTGGAGATTAGCCACCACTAAACAGCAGCCAAGGTGACCAGGGTCCACTTCACAGAATAGAGGAATCTTGTCTTTTACAAGGCCAGAGTGTTTGTCTGGCTCACCCAGTACTGCCCACTCTGGCCAGCAACAGTTCTCCAAGGTCTCAGGCAGAAAGGTCTACCTGATCGCTTAAAGAATAACACATACTCTGCTCCTGTACTATGAATCCTCCCCCTCGGTGGTACTTAGTGACTGTGTTGTCTTACTACCATCGCCTCACCAGCTGCCATTACTAAAAGCACACAGAGCTTTCAGCCCAACAACGGAGCTGCTGCTGTCCCACTTAACACTCGGATGTTCAATTCGCTTCCATGTGATGGATTGGTTGGAGAATCCATGTGATGGATTGGCCGGATAAAAGAGTAAGGCAGGTCTATCTGTAAGTGTACCAGCAAGGCTGGATAAAAGAGTAAGGCAGGTCTATCTGTAAGTGTACCAGCAAGGCTGGCAAGTTTGCAATGAACCAATGCAGCTGACCCAACTTCTCTGAGGTGAGTCCACTCACTCTGGGATAGATTGCCCACTATGTATGAATGTGACTAAGGATGCCCTTAGTGCACCACTTCCCACCCTACAGAATGTTGATAGTTCCGCTGTCTTATCTACTGCACAGTATCAAAAACCGGAAGGTATGTAAAGCACGATGCACCCGTAAAGCTAAAACCATTACGGAGTAAGAATAGCCAGGTTCTAGGATGCATCAACTAATCCTCTGTGATGACTCTTTGTCAACCCAATCCCTCTTGTTGGATGGCTGGCAATTTTAGTGGAATAGTAAAACGAAGCAACTTCAGATCAGGCATGCATGATGGAGAATTCTGTTACATAATAATAGTATTAAACAGCACTACAAATAATATCATCTTTTAAACGCCATGAAGGATTAGTTTCAGTATATGTTTGGGATAAATTAACCAGAGATTTAATCTAAATTCCCAGCAAATGTTTGCAGACCTCTGGAACACAGGAGGCATAAGCACAAAAACCCATTCCCTCTCTTTTTTCTACCCTGTGACTGCAGTAAAGCCAAACACCATATATAGATCTACTCTGCATCGGAATCGTAGATGTTTAAAAGGCCTCCACTACATAAATGCCATCGGGGATTAAACCAACCCAGAAAGAGCATTCCTTTAGTAATCCTACATAATTAATGGGACACAATTCTACTTGGTATATTAAACAGCTAACATGCAAGCACAAGCTGCTTGCTTTAAGTGCCTTTAAAGCTAGGCCTTCCCCAGCCACTAATGCAGTACAACGCACTCACCACCCACTGTCTACTCATCTAGGGTATCTTTGCAATATGTTATCCTGGAATGCGGGGTTCAAAGCTACAGATGAATGGGGGGGGGGTCATTTATATAGTGGGTTAGGCCAATAGCTCACAGAGTAGAATGCTGCTAGTAGTCTATTAGAGTCTGTACTAAGTGCAGTACTGGAAGCAAAGGAAGCAATTATAGAGTGATAAACCATTTCCTGCCCTGGATTTCAAGCAGCCAGGTACTACACATGAATACTGAGAAGTGTCTTACCACCTTCAACAAGGCTTATTCGCAGATAAATGTGCATAGGATTGCAGCCTAATTAACACTTACTTATGAGTAAACATGAATACATAATTATATGGGAACAAGACCCATTGATCATGGTAGAACTTATTATTTATTAATATAGTTTTATCTTGCCTTTCCTCCAAGTTGCTCAAGGTGGTGCAAATGGTTCTTCTGTCCCAATTTTATCCTCTCAATAAACAATCCTATGAAGTAAGTTAGGCTGAGAGATGGTGACCAGCCCAAGGTTATCCAGTGGCCTCCCAGGTTCGGAGTAAATGTGCATGGGATTGCCCTGCCCTGAATGGCCACTTTATCATTTATCAGTATGAGATTGCTTCCATGTACCACTTGTCTGGAATGCTTTGTTAAATTCCACCCTTGGATGAGAACCTAGGTGACCACAGTTTAAATACCCACACAGCCATAAAGCCATGCTGGGTGAGCTTGAAGCAGTGGCCATACCTCAGCCTAACCTACTGGTTGCTGTGAGAATAAAATGGGGAAGGGAGAGAATCATGTGTGCCACACTGAGCTCTTCAGCAGAATGGTGGGCTATTTTATTCATATAATATAATAAAAATGTTGCCCCACTGGTATATTGTATTACATTGCATTTTTATGCACAGGTACCAGGCTGCTTTCTGTCCGTTCTAAATGAAAACTGGTACCTGCCCAGGACAGGTCAAAATCACCAGCTTTGTTATCATTCAATGGAAAGGAATGGATCAATGTATTTGGAGACTGCTGACGCTAATTTAGCAATGAGCTTTGACATGGATATATGGAATGGAAAGTCCAACTTAATCACTGACTCCTAAGTTCCACAAAACAAGGCTTTTCTTTAAGGGCAAAAGGAATCTGGAATATTTCTTTGCCTCAGGCAAGTAGCCTTTCCTCTGTGATGCAAACAGGAAGGAATGTTATCTAATGAAGTCAATCTATCACACAGAGGTCAGTAAGAAGGGTGGAAGGTGAGAGGCAAGACTACATTCAGAAAAGCAAAGCTTACCTCAGGCTATGGGCTGCCCAAGAGGCTACCACTGCCAGTTAACCCGCTCCCTTCTCAACAGAGAGAAGAGATATTGTCCAGTCCAAGCAGGACTTTTACTAGCAAACAGTAGGAGTGCTATCAAGAGTGCCTGCTCACCAGGCTTTGGTAAACATACAGATAGTATTCCAAAAGAGATTAAAGATCATTTCTCAGTGCAAATCTGTGGCCATGAATAAAAGGATGAGCCTCAAATACAGTGCAACACATTAATTCTTGGTAGTGGCATAACTGTGAAACTACCCAAGTGTGATTTTAATATTGAATACCTTAAAACACCAGGTGTTTTGCACGCTGTGCCAAATTCTTTCAGACTTAAAAGCCAGCTAACTGATGTCAATGCACAGGTTTGCACTATTTCCCTCCTCCATTTACTACTGGAGCTTCCTACTGTAGCAAATATCCCCCTTTTCTTCCAGGACATCCAACCACACTCATTGAGGAAGCCAGCCAGCCAGCCACACTGCACAGCCCACCTTAGTATTATACAATTCCTTCCACTGCTGTCTGAAGCACCACACATGCTTAGGCTATGGGAGATGAGAAGGATGACACTGTGTTCCTGACAACTTCTGAGGGTAGAACCAGCTTGATAGGACACAACACTTATCAGTGCTGTGATGGGTCGATAAGCACACTTCAATGAATGCAATCAGCAAGGAGACAACTAGAGAAGGTACAGGGAGGAGGAGCTGCCACAATGAACTGAGCAAACATGACACATGAATCCTGTCCCACTAAGGTCTTTGATCACAATAACCTTCGGGGTGACTTAAGAAGAGCAGAATCCAATCCCACATACATTTATATTCCAGAAGTCTACGTTGACAGTGGGGAAAAAAGCCAGCAAGAGAATGTAAACGATGGGCACCATCTAGTACTGTTAAAATCCATGTTCACTGCTCTGCCCTACCATCACTAAACAGACACTCTGGAAAGGATGCCCTTTCACTCGCTCCAAATGAAGACAGTTTTTGGACAGTTTCTTGCTTCCTAAGCAACCAGTAAAGAACCACATTTCTATGTGAAAGAACACATTTCTTCAAGAAACAAGTGCAAACAATTTTGGATGCCTTGCGTATTGTCTAAGGCAATCCTTATGAACTGAACATCTAAACATCCAGATGTGCCTCTTACAGCTACATGGAACTGTGGGAGAAAGTGGTTATTAAGCAGACCATGCAGTCTCAGGTATATTGAATTGCATCCCCCCAGGAGAATTATAAAATCTACTTTTTTCCCTTTGTAAAGCAATGAGACCCCCACAAGAATCTGTACATGTGTGAGAGTCTTTACATTTCTAGTGGCTTTTGTATCTCTGTAGTGCTTTTAATGGCTGGGCTTTGACTTTAGAGCATAACTGACAGCAAATACAAATTACACTTACCTGTCTGATGGTTTCAAGTGTACCCTTTTTATTTTCAAATTACATTTATACTTATCAGTAAACTGGCCTCTACAACTATTGGAAGCCAGCTATACTCTCCAGAAAAAGACAGAGAAAAGAAGAGACATGGTCTGAGCTCCCCAGAGCCAAAAGAACAAACTTACTTTCTTCAGCTTGCCACTCTTGGTGCCCACAAACACCACACTGTAGCCATTGTAGACATATGAAGTGACAGAAGTCATCCGATCGCGGCTGGATGTGTAAAGAGTCACCCCTTCTACTGGTATGGAACCTCCCAGTGGCTGGTTAATGTCCAACCCACAGAAGTTGTCATCTATTGGGACTGGCTGAAAGGGAGAAGGCATTTTGGTGAGTGTGGATGACAGGCAAGAAAGTGGAGACAAAGCAACCTTCATAAGGCTAAGCCTCCCTAAGCAACACTTGACAACATCTAGCGTATAACAAATCTTTGTTCAGCTGGGCCCAAGGCAGCATTCCAAAATCTGAGACCAGATCCTTTTTAGATCTCTTATAAGACTTGCCTGGAAGATTCAGTTCATGGTGGCATCCTCAGAACATGTTTTACAAAACCCTTTGCAGAAGTACACTTGTGTACATGTGCATATGCATATGCACACAACTGCATATATCATTTCCATTGGTGTCTCAATTACATTTTGCAGACTTTGGACCTAAGGAACAAAGATTCCTTATACTGAGTCAGACCATTGGCCTGTTTAGCTCAGCATTGCCTACAGTGGCTGGCATAGCTCTCCAGAATTTCATAGAGGGAATATCCCCAGCCCTAAACCAATGCAGATGCTCTACCTCTGAGCTATAGCTTTTCCCCAAGGAAAGGTTTGATCACTCACATTCCTCTGTGTTTCATAATTTCCCTACCTTCATTGAGAAGAGGAGACCTTGCACACACCTTGAAACATCATAACCACAGGGGTGAGAACCTGTGGTTCTCGAGATGTTGAAAGACTACAGCTCCCATGTTCCCTGAACATTGGCTATGTTGACAGGAGCTGATGGGAGATATAATCCAACAATACCTGGAAGTTCCCCACAGGTTCCCCACCCTAGCTCTAAACTGACCCTCAAAGCTTTGTTGTCTTTTCACTAGCTGCTAGTGTACATAGACCTAAGCAAAATGCTATTCAAAGTCCTTAGGATGCATTGCTTCCTGAAATGCACCCCACCCTCATTCCCCTATTCCATCACCTGTTAGCATTTTTGCTTCCACAGTTCAGTAGACCCAGGAAGCCAGCCAAGCAGAGAGCTAACTCCTAAGCCATTTTATCAGCCTTGAATTGAATTGAGTACCATCCTTAGTACACTGGACTTTCCTCATTCAGACACAGAGCTCTTCATTCTGCTCTTCCTCTGCAAATGACATGGCAGAGGGTGATGGCTGAAATTGGCTATATCATTTTCCCCACTTGTCAAAAGAAAGAAAAAGATTCAGCTGTTAGTAGTATAGGATCAAAAACAGCCAGAGAAAGCACAGGTCTCTTTTCACTCTGAAGGGAGAAAAGAAACTGATTTTCTCTATGTGTTTGGTTCCTTCTCTCATGCAGTCATCTCCAGCTTTCCAGCTTTAATGACAAGAATTACCGTAGCAGTTTGCTTTTAAGAGAGCTTTCCCACAAAGCACCCGGTGAACTGCAATCAGCTCCAGGAGGCCAAGCACTTTTGGGAACCCTTACATTTTTGGGATCGGGGCCGGGGCTCCCCATGCCTAAAAACGCCTTCTCTTCCTCCTGCCATGGAGGGGAAGGAGGGTCGAAACAGCCTCCCACCAGTGGTGGTGCCAGGAGGAGCCACCAGTCAGTGAACAGTGCAGCTGCTGCATCTGGCTCCTCCTCTGGCTCCTCCCAATGTCCTGACATCACGTGTGCAATTTTGGGATGTCGCTTGTGCAACATTGCGCCCCCCCATCGGCCTCATAAGCTGGCACTTCTGTCTATCATTTCCCTTCCCCCATATAAATCAGGAGCATAGCCCATTCCAAGGGCCACATTGCCTTCTGGGCAATCTTTTTTTGGTTGGGGGAGGCACATGTCAGGAAATAGGCAAATGTGGATAGAACAACCGGTGTAAATCTTACCTCTGTATGGTACCCTTGTATCTACACAGAGTGACAAACCTCTTACTATTCCCTATCCAGGCAAGCAAGAAGCATTATGAGAATTCAAGGACACTTTCCAGCCAGGCAAAAATGTTAAAGGGGTGGTTCAAAGCAGTGGTGGTGAGAGCAATGGCCTGGGGAGGGTCCTAAGGGCCAGGCAGAGCAGCTTGGAGGGCTGCAACTGGCCCTCCAGGTTTGAGGTTCCTCACCTCTGCAATAAATGTTAAGAGACCCCCCTCTATAAAAACGTTGAGCATTTTTGAAAATGAAGATCCTGAATAACAAGTGAATGCTACATAGCATCTTCTGTCTATGATGAGTGTGACCAAACAGGGTGACTATCTAGCTCCAGTGAAATTAAGGAACCTTGTCTTAACAATGTTTTAATTACCCTGGCACAACTAGCTGCATGAATGCACACATTAAATGGGATGTCTCTTAACACCCCAGTTTCTTTTATTTGCCACAATAAGCTACAGAATAAATTGATTTTTCTCTGTCTTGGATCTTCTGCACTTATCCAAGTGGGCCAGCTACATTAATCAATATCCAAGAAGACCAAAATGTGCAACTGAAATTGGCCATTAATCTTTCAGGCTTGTTTGCATGAAACCTTCCTGCTCAGGGAGGAAGGGTGCTTCTTTGCTGCACTTTCAGGTTTGGCTTCAGACCAGATTTCAAGAAGAAATGGAATCTACCAAATCAGCTACATCTTAGTTTTGCCCTCCATTACTATAACAGAAGAACAACTCTTGGCCATAAAAGAATTTGCCTTTCCATTGTGATTAATGAATGGATTCTATTTCTCAGTTTGATACTTGGGGAGCAATGGCAGAAATAACTCGATAATAGCTCTGCTTTATGCAGGAATGCTGATAAATGGCAAATGTTTTTTAAAAAGATTTTCCATAACTAGTTATCCCTCCCAATGTCCTGCTGAGGCTGATACATCATTATTGGTGTTCTTAGTTTCCATACAAGTATGAGAAAACAGAACTTGCTCAAGGTCATAGAGGAAGCCAATATTTGAACCTACTTGAACCAAAATAATGATTATATTATTAATTAGAAGGCAACAATACTTCAAGAGATGTTCTCCAAGTTCCTATGAAGGATATCAGAAACCAGTTTTTACACCCTAGAATTTCTGTTGCTACTCAATATTGCTCACTACAATATTTTCTATTCTTCTGCAGGAAATCTAGGTGAAATACTGTGAACATTCTTACCGCCTTGGTACACTGAACATCTTTCCCAAGCAGCCAGTTGAGTTCCAAGTTGCCTTCCCCTTGGTAGCAAGACTGTAAGCGCTCCTTAATTTGGGCATTGATAGCACGGATGGGAAAGATGCAAAGAGCTGAGTCATCAGGGGGCTGGTGATACTGCTTTTGTCCCTTGGAGAAAATGGCAAAAAGGACATCATCCTGGGCAGTGATATTGAGGGACCTGGCCAGCACCTCCCCAGGCTTGGAAAGGTAGGCTGCCTGTAGGAGGCGATATTCCACATCACCTTTGACACAACCAAATGGCAGAGAAACATAGGAGTGGAACTTGGGGTCATCCTTGCAGAGACGCACAATTCGAGATGTGTAGAAGAGATCGCTAGCTGAGTTGATGGAGACACCCTCAGGAGTCTCTGGCTGGACAGTCAAAAAATAGACAAAGTTGCCGCTGGAAAATCCATAGATATAAAATATGTCAAAGTGTGAGACCAAGGCCAGTGTGTCTGAAGGAATTTTTATGAGTGATGAAACAAAGTCACTGTGAAGTTCATAATCCAACATAGCTGATGACTCTGGGTCACGTGGCAGCTTCCGGCTGGAGAGAGTGGGGAAGTAATCCTGCTTGCCATCTACTGCTGTACCAATGAAAAGCTTCCCATCCTCACCCTCAGAGCGAACTATAACTCCATACATAGTGCCAGTTTTGTTAACACTGGAAAGATAGTGCTCCTTCTTGTGAGATGGTTCCACCAGGATGAAGAGATCATCCAATCGCAGCAGCTTGCAGACTCCTTGGTAGAGGCTCCCACAGGCCAACAGCCTATTTTCTGTGTGATCAATTATCAGCAGCTTGTTCACATTGTTAGTCAGTGTTAGGATCTCAGTGCAGGGCTGCACTATGAGTGGTGGGTAGCAGGATTTGTTGTCCTCCTCTGGTCCTGTCTTGTGAGCAACCAAGATGGTCAAGTTTCCAGACAGCTTGTAAACCCGATTGATGGCTCCCACATAGACTGCTCCAGTGGCCTGATGGACAGTCAGATGGTTGAAAGTCCAATCACGGTTCTCAGAGTGGAAGGTATTATAGACGGGAGTGCTAGTGGCATTCCATGAAAATAAAACCAGGCAAAGAAACACCAAGGCCACCGATGAGTCTTCGGAGTCCCATATCCGAGGCCAGATCTTTCTCTGTTCCATTCTGTGGTGGAGAGTGAGGAGGAAAGGGAGTGTGAACCTCAAAACTCCCTGTGTGTCTCTCTTGCCACAGCAGTGTTTCTCACATGATTCTACAGAAAAAGAGAAAAAAAACCAGAAGAGGGGAGATTAGACCTAAAATATCATGTAGAAAGAATTTAAACACTCCTCTACCCACTCACTAAAACTCCTTGAGATCAAAAGAGGACATCTCTAAACCCATGAACAGCGTTCCCATTTGGGTAAACACTGCAGGCTTTAGCACTCTGTTCCGCCTCTGTGCATTAATTGTTACGCAGTTTAACTGCTCATAATATGCTCTGAGTCATGAGTTCATTCAGCTGCAGGAGGGAATAATCAATCTCAGCCCAAAGACAAGTATTTTGCAGACAGTTCACCTACCCAGGCATCAGATCTAAGAACCTTGGCTGGGAGGGGGGCTTATGACAAGGTGTTGAATTGACAGGTGAATAAGAAGGGTTTCCTCTCTGTGAAATCCACGAGGGTTACAATGTAATTAAAGAGAAAGAAATATCAGGAAGAGATGGCTTACATGTCTGCAGCACCTCCTGTTTGTTTCTACATTCCTCACATGCACAGGCATTGTGGTGCCTTAGGCTGTGTCTGCACCTTCTGTAATTGGCAAGCCCACAGAGGGCTGGCTCCATGCCTGCTTGCATAATCTGCATCAAGTGGCCTCAGCCACTCACCAATATGCAACCATGCTGGGAATTTTGACCCCTGGCTGAAGACAAAGAGTCCCAGGAGACCTGAATTCAACTTACTGCAGTGTGAGCTTTCATTTATAACCTTAGTGAATGCCTGATGGTTCACTTCATAGATACCACTGGGGGTCTGCTCTCAGGTGGAAAGTGATGTTCGTGGGGAATATCTGCTTTGTAAGGTACAATGTGTTGCCATGTCTCTCCTCTTGCATGGAGGGGCAGCAGGGGAAAGTGCAGACAGGGCCTTGGGCTATTAGAAAGCGATACCAGAGCATTTTCATGTCTGTTCATGAAAGCAATGAAAGCAAGAAGTGAGGAGAGAACTGTCTTGATCAAGAAGACTGGTGCAAAATTATTATTTGGCATATCATTTTCTGCAGGAGAAGAAGTGCAAAGTTTGCACATCTATTGAAAATGTCTAGTTAGTAAGAGCATGGATTGAACAAGCCATGCATCTGAGCACCATATTTCTTTAGATACTAGGTTCAGCTGAAGTAAAGTTACCTAGAAGATAACCATGTAACCTTTACTCTCCCCATGGCTGCCGCTACATATTTTCTTTGGCCTTCTCCCACACAGACACAATCATACAGACATTATGTAATGAAGCTGCTTCTTTCAAGACACAGCATTGGTTGACACAGCTTGGTACCATCTACTCTTCCTGGAATTAGCTTTTCAGGTTATCAGGTGGGCATCTTTCCTTGCCATCCTGCCTGGGCTCTTTCAATTGGAGATGCTTGGACCTGAATATGGGACCTTTCACATTCCGCTCCTTTCCCATAAATAGGCCATGTGGAAAGAAGCACTGAAGTTGCCTCTCAACAAAACCAAAGCCTTTCCCCTCTTACCATGCTCATTCTTTTCTTGCCTCTCTCCCACTTTACTGCCCCACCTTTGATAATAGCTGTGCTTAAACTGAAAGCAGTTGCAGACTGTGTCCAGTTGCTATCTGACATTCCCTGACCATCACATTCACTCCCTAGGCCAGGTGAATTGTCCATCTAGAACAAGGATAAAGTATTTTGTCACTATGCATCACTGGGGCACCCCTTTCATAGCTTCATCCAATTATTCTATATGATATATGCTGTATTTGTGATGTTCTATTATGTTCTATTGGGACGCGGGTGGCGCTGTGGGTAAAAGCCTCAGCGCCTAGGGCTTGCCGATCAAAAGGTCAGCGGTTCGAATCCCCGCGGCACGGTGCGCTCCCGTTGTTCGGTCCCAGCGCCTGCCAACCTAGCAGTTCGAAAGCACTCCCGGGTGCAAGTAGATAAATAGGGACCGCTTACTAGCGGGAAGGTAAATGGCGTTTCCGTGTGCGGCTCTGGCTCACCAGAGCAGCGATGTCACACGGGCCACGTGACCCGGAAGTGTCTCTGGACAGCGCTGGCCCCCGGCCTCTTGAGTGAGATGGGCGCATAACCCTAGAGTCTGTCAAGACTGGCCCGTACGGGCAGGGATACCTTTACCTTTACCTTATTATGTTCTATCACGTTATTGTTATTTATTGTTTGTAAGCCACTTTGGGATTCATTTGAATGAAAAGTGGCATAGAAATATAATCAATCAAATCCAGTCCAATAGTTGAGCTGACACCACTGGGGTGTGTGTGTTTTAAGCTCCTTAATATACTCCCCTGTTCTTATTTGCTTTTTCTGTCTTTAATGCTTCAGAAACATAAGACTGAATAACACTGAACCAGGCAAGTCAGGGAGCTTAAATCAAATGTTGGGGATGAACTTCTGAGAGATACTGAAGGAGCCTCTGTAAAAAGAAAGGTTTTCCTGCCGCTAGTCAGATATGAGTGAAGTGCTTTGTTTGAAAGCTATTTGCTCCTCTTGTAAACAGTATCCTAGGGTTTCTGTCAGTGACAACCTGCGTAGCATTGAACACTGCGCTGAAGCCTTGTGGAATCTCCCAATTCTGCCACCTCCTCTCTTTTCAGCTAGCTGACACTCACCCTGACTAGGAGCAGCTCAACCCCTGCTCTTTGTTATCACAGCAGGGCAGCCTTTGATTGGTTCTGGCAGGCAGCAGCTGTATGCTCTTTTCAATACCGGCTTCTGTCCCTTTTTTGATCTGTACGCTGCCCATCAGCTGTGCATAGTACCTGTCTGAAAGAACATTCATTGCAAGGGGGTCGAGTTCAGCAGCTGCAATTCTCCTTTCCAACAAAAGCACTCAATGGACTCAGACAAGGCAAAGTGCTGTTTACACAAAGTCTGCAATTGCTGTGGCTCTCATTCAAGTAGTTTTGGACATCCACTTACCACACTGAAGCCCTTGGATTTTGGTGTACACAGTGCTCAAAGCATCTATTTCAGGTAACCTAAAGGAGGAGCCATGCTATATGTTGTGATTGGAGGCATCAGTATTATGCCAGTGTTTGTGCAGCAGATATGTGAGGGATGGAAGTAATATTTTCATCTTTTAGCACACATATTGATGCCTATTGGAAAGGGGGGCTAATCAGACTTTTGGAGCATGTGCATTTAAAGATGCATATACACCAAGGATGAGGCACCTTTTTTTCTATTGTGGATCCACAGGGCTGGAGATGATGTTTGGTGAGCCCTCCCTTCTCTCTTTCTTTTGGCCATCTCCTGCTCTGAATCAAGATTCTACATTAATAGGGATGTGTTTTGGATTTGGACAAATCCCCATAGGGTTCGTCCACACTTCTCTTTGTCCAGTGCCTAGAAAGCATGGGTCTGAGTGGTTTTCTGGTTTTCCTGCACTTTCTAGGCATGGGTCTGAATGGTTTTACATTTGCCCTGCAGCTTTTTCCTGGAAAACATGCTCTTTACTGCTGAATTGGAACAAATGGCAATCTATGGAAAGCCAATCATCATTTGTTCCGATTCAGTGGTAAAGAGTGGGGTTTCCTGCAAGAAAGCGGCAGAGCAAATGGAGGTGTGGGTGAGCCCAAAGCAGGGGATTTTTGGGGGACAGATTCAGCACTTGTCTGAGCTGAAGAACAATCTCTTCAAAATGCCCAAACTGAAGGGAGGAGCTCCATACCAATCTGGGGGCATTTCTCTGCAAGCTTGTCATACAAAGAAAACATCAGAATAGGGAAAACAAAAAAATTTCCTTCCAGTAGCACCTTAAAGACCAACTAAGTTAGTTCTTGGTATGAGCTTTCGTGTGCATGCACACTTCTTCAGATAGTATCTGAAGAAGTGTGCATGCACACGAAAGCTCATACCAAGAACTAACTTAGTTGGTCTTTAAGGTGCTACTGGAAGGAAATTTTTTTGTTTTGACTATGGCAGACCAACACGGCTACCCATCTGTAATCAGAATAGGGAGTGTAGGAGGTCTTTTGTGACTACAGGTCTAGCTCCTAATCAGAGGGACTGATTTCATCAGAGCTGCCCAATCACAGTGCTTTGGAAGAAAAAGATGTTGAAGTAATTTATTCCATTGTTCTTGTATGCTTTGTGCATTTTGTGAGCTCTGCTAGTGGTGCTTGCTTTGAAAATGCTGCCTATGCAAGTCCTTCTGCCTCTGCTGCATGCCCACACATCTACTCCCATCAAATCAGTTTTAGGATGGTTTCAGCCTGGTAACAAGCTTTTTGTCAGTGTTTGCCAAGTAATGCTTAAATCCAGATGCTGCAAATCATTGGCTTGTTTGAAACAGGCTGGTGGTGGAGACACACTATGTCTGCTACCTTCACTGTAGAGCTTTCATCATATGCTGAAGATGGGGCTCTTTACCAGAGTGCCTTTGTAATTGATTTTTAAAATGATCCTTTGGGAGGAAAAGCAGGGCATGAATTTAATTAATAAATAAGTAATATCAGATTTTTATATTGTTGCAACCTGTCCCAGAAACATATGGTGATATGTGGGTAAGAAAATAATAACGGTAGTAATAGTAACGCACTTTTCAATCAGCAATGATGTGCCTAGATGGTTGTATGAGTTAATAGAACTAACACTGTGTGGACTGAAATAAGCAAGCTGTTTGGCAAAGGGCTGGAGTAGGACCTTTAAGAGATCCTTTCTGCTGCCCACCTGCCTCTCCTTCCCTTTCATTCAAACACAGGCAACTGTCAAGTAGAATTAGGAGTCATAAGGTTGGGATTTCCTTAGGAAATAGGAGGCTTGCCTTAGAAAAGCACTGGTTATGTGATGCAGGCTTACATCAGAGAGCCTTTTATCCACCCTTCCGGGATATGAAGTTATTACAAGCCAGCTGTCTCTGTGTGTTTTCCTTCTCTGAAATAACCACCCCCTTCCTCAAGCTACACCATGAGGATGAAAAAAAGAGAGAGAGAAAATGCTTTATGCTTCATAATCCCCTTTTCACCTAAGAACTCCCTACTTACCTGAAACACTGTGGAATACAGCTAC